TTATCCATGCAAAGCTCAGGTGTTGATGTGACCACACAAGGGCATCAGATTACAGTCTTTTGAAATACGTTTACAGTTTTTCATTTTGAATACAATAAAATCAGTAAGAATTACCCTTCATTTAATTACAGGTCCAATATTAACTTCATTGACATTTTAAAGTGTGAATTGGTTTCTCTATTTTTCCAAACTAAAACCATGGTACCTACCCAATATCCTATTATTCTTAACCAGTCAGGCATCAGTCTGCTGGCCAGTGGTGAGGAGGTTAAAAGCAAAGGACATTTCTTGGAAATATCTGTCTACCATTAATGCGAGAGTGACTTTGTTTTTGCCAATAAATAAAATCAATTCCCTACCCTGTCTGCCACTGGTATGGATGGAGTCTCTGCATCCATTTAGTCTATCAACAGCTTATCTCACAGGAGTACTGGACTAAATGCTTTTGTTCAAGAGAAAACAAGAAATGAAACCACAGCTGGTACTTTAAAAGTTTGCAGATTTTATATCCTGAATATAGCCCTAAGCAGAGCTGATAAGAAGCTGATACTTCACTCTTTCTGAATGTTTTGAAAATCAAGCTACTCCTTTATGAGAAAATGAACACAATCTTTAAAATTGAGGAATTGTTCCCCCTGCACCAAATCAATGGTACATGTGATATTTAATACTGGGTTATTTCAGTAATTACTTTGATCAGCTTTGATACTTATTCATGCAGAAAAAAATGAAAAAGCATCACTCCTTTTTTGTGTGTATATTTTAAGTATTATAGCTATAGCAAGTGGTAGATTAATATGAATTTTTCCATCTGACTTGCTTTCAGATAAAATGCAAGGTCAGAGTTCACCCAGTTCTTTCCATATAGATTCTTGCTTTTATCTTTTGTGAGTGGAATGAGAATTTAAATAACTCTGAAAAGACCTGACTCAGGACACTCTCCCAGTATTTCTTCATTACATTCAGGTTCTAATAGACTTCAAATAAATAAAAACCCAGAAATAATACTGTGAAAATTTAGCATTCAGTACATAGAAAGTTTATTTTAATGAGGTCAGAAGGAGTTTTTATTTATTTATTTATTTTACGGTTTTTATACATTTTATTTTCATAAAGTAGTTCACAGTAGGTCATTACAGATAATATTCAAACACCCACCCCACCAGCAAGCATCTTCCCACTACAATAAGAAGAAGGAAGTGTGTGGAGGTTGTTGTATTTCATTATGGGGCCATTTAAGCCCATATATACAAAAATACAAGCAAGTATGTTAAAACCAAACACATGTGTGCTACTTTAGGTACATCAGCGAGTGGAGTATAAGAGGTAGCACTACCACGAATGTGGTCTCTCACTTCAGAAAATACTGCATCACTCTCTTCCGGGAGCTTTATTTTATAGTCTCTGGATCTTGGCCATTGATGAGTTTACATGATGAGGGGTGGGGAGGTGAGGGGAATGGGTGGGAGGGGCAGTTTGTGGATGTGAATGCCAAGCTACTGGAAAATTGGGGATCTGGGTGGAGAAGGCCCAGTTCCAATCTGAGCAGGCTTGGAGATCTCAGCCATGGGTCCCTCACAGAAGGAGTTTTTAATTCATTCGCATATCATACCTTATGCAAAACTACAGATTCCAACACCATCTTTAACAGGAAGTGATGCTATGTTCCTTTCCTGCTGAATTTAGCTGGAGGTCTCTATAGAGTTGAGATTCTTGGATTGTGCCAGTGTTGGATTAGAGAAAAAAAGTGGCATGTGCTGTGAATCTTGCTACAAATGTACTTTCTGATCTGCAATTTTTTCTGTTTCTGAAAAACCCATTGTAAGATTGGAGTAAGTTATTTGCTTTTTTTTTAAAAAAAAAGATAATAAATTGAGGGAAAACATAATTTACTGAAGACATTAAGAAAAGACAGAAATGAGGAGAGGGTATTATTGGAAATCTGGATGATGTTGCTTTACATATAAGGAGCTGATGCATACGATGTGTACGTATAAGGAACTGAGCTTAATGTGTTCCAGTGGTGCACTTGTAGGTCATTTTGTTTCTATTATTTTTCCTTTTCTCTTTTCAAAAACGCAGTCAAGGGGCTGGAGAGATAGCACAGCAGGTAGGGCATTTGCCTTGCACGCTGTCGAACCGGGTTCGATTCCCAGCATCCCATATGGTCCCCGAGCACCTCCAGGAGTAATTCCTGAGTGCATGAGCCAGGAGTAACCCCTGTGCATTGCCGGGTGAGACCCAAAAACCAAAAAAAAAATAAAATAAAAAATAATTCTCCTCTTCTTCCTCCTCCTCCTCCTTAAAAAAAAAACGCAGCCAAATTTTCCATTTTTACTTGAAATATTGTACTTAACCTAAGAATGTATCTTATTAAAACTTCAAATAATACATGACACCAGTTCCTTGCTAGAATTAAGAGTTTCTAGAAAAGAGAATTTTGTCAGTCAAAACCATGGAGTAGATCTTTGGCTAAATAGAAATTAGAAGGATTTAGATGCTTGCCTCAAAGACTGACAACCTGGTTCAAATTTCTGGCACTATGGTCCTTTAGAGCATTGCCAGGAATCTTTTTTGACCACAGAGCCAGGAATAGGCTCTGAGCTCTGCAAGGTTTGCTTAGGACAAACCAAATGCTGCTGGACCCAAGTCTTTCTTCTTTTCCTATCCAAGACACCATAAAAACCCTGCTGCGCCTCTTCTGGGGGTGGGGCTCTGACTCAACCTTATGAGAGTTAAGTAGAGTCCACTTGGGAGCACATCCCACTCGTGTTTCTTCACTTTACTCATCCCTGTCTCTTACTCAAACCCCACTAGATATGGCCCAATATTACACACACACACACTAACACACATGCGTGCACGTACACACACACACACACACACACACACACATACACACACACCATTTCTGGATCATGATGAGGTAATTGCAACAAAAAACTTCACCTGGCTTTGTGGCCTCCTAGCACAGTCACGTCCAAACACTATGGCACTGCTGTCTAGCCATTGAGCAACCTCCATCTTTCATAGGTACCACACATTATTACGAGTGGTAACTTAGCAAATTTAAGCAGTACCAAGGAGGCATAGATTAAAATATATGACCAAACAAATATTCAGTGGTGTGTAAAGTGCTTGTGCAATATGGTGTAGGAAATGTCCAATAATATACTTAAAATTACACAATAGGCAAAAGAAAATGTATCATGCAAAATTTGAATGTATTTACAACAGTATCTTATTAGTATTCCATTTATATTAGATGTGTAAGGCTTTGCCATAATATCATTTTTTGGCTCAGTGATTTTTAAGATGATTTAGACACTTTCTGTAAAATTTCAAGTGAGGTAATGAACCAAGAGGTGTGATGCTTACCAAAATCTAATAACATGCTGATATGTATATTCATACAAAAATGTTATATTTGTAAGTATGATTTTGCCAAAGAACTGAATCACCTCAAAACAAATACAACAAAATATTAAGGTAAAATAATTACAACACACACATTAAAATATAAAGTTTGCATTAGTATGTGCATTAAAATAATTCATAAAAGTCAACACTTTTGAACTGAACTTAGTGCCACCAAAAAAGACATGAATAGCATTTTAATTTGAACTCTATATCAAATTATGAAATACTAGTTACTGACAAGAAATGTGACTAATTTTTGGCCTTGAGCTCTATCTAGATCAGCTTTTACATTCTCAGAATTTTTCAAGATATATTAAGTGTAATGAATATTCTCAAAAAGAAGTGTCACAGTATCTGTAGGGAAAGTGAATCTAGGGCTACTCCTTTCGAGATTCAGTGCAGGAAAATGTACTGAAAAGCAATGTACTCATTAATATCAGTTTTCTCCAACAATAACAACAACCAAATGTCCCATCAAAAATGGGAAAAGAAATGAATAGAAACTTCCTAGAGGAAGATGAGAAGATGGCCAATAAGCACACAATGAAGTTTTCAGCATCACTTTTCATTAGGGAAATATAAATGAAGAACTAATGAGATATCATCTCACACTAGTGAGGATGGTATTTATCAAAAATATGTGTTGGTAGGGATATGAAGAAAAAGGAAATCTCATCATCTACTGCTAGTAGGAAATACTGTCTGGTTCAACCTCTATGGAAAAAAGTATAGAAACTTCTCAGTAAACTTAGAATTGAGCTGTCAAAAGTCCCAGTAATTCCACTTTTGGGCACCTACCCCGGGACAAAAAACAATGCATTCAAAAGGACATACACCCACCATTATTCATTGCAGCACTTTATACAATAGCTAAGATATAGAACCAACTTAGGTGTCTAACAAAAGATGAACAGATAAAGAAGCTGTAGAAAATACACACAATGGAATACTATGCAGCTGCAAGGAAAAATAAAATTCAATTTTCTGGAACCTGGTTGGAGCTGAAAGATATGTTGAATGAAGTAAGCCAGAGTAAGGAAAAACATGGACAAACTCACTTCTTTATGGTATATAGAGTAACCGGATGAGGAAATGTAATGAAGTAAAGAGGTAAATGCCTAGATAGGTCTAGAGTAGAAGGTACAGAGAAGGAAGGAAATCAAGGAGACAAGGAAGATGAGAAAGGGAGGTAATGGGGGAATAGAGGTTCTGGGTCTCAATTTACTGGTGACGTGGGAGAGTGGTAGAGCTATATATCCACAGCACAGACTCAACAGCACTAAAGCATGAAATCTAAATTAGCACTCTTGTGTAGCTCTCTCCTCCCGTTATTCATCGATTTGCTCGAGTGGGCACCAGTAACATCTCACAGCAAATTGTGAGACTTGTTGCTACTGTTTTTGGCATATCGAATACATCACGGGTAACTTGCCAGGCTTTGCCCTGAGGGTGAGATACATCACGGGTATCTTGATACGTATCTTGATACATATCTTGATAGGTATCTTGATACGTATCTTGACACGGGTATCTTTTTTGTTTGTTTGTTTTAATTAAAATTTATTAATCCTCTTGAAAAAAATCTGCACAATCACCAGATAGCCTCTGCAGAATCTTTACTCCTTCTTTTTGCCAGCACCAACATTGGCCTTGGCGGTCCCCCTGACTTTCTTCATTCTGTTCTTGCGTTCCTTTCTCTGTTTGCGTGAGGTCTTTTTCTTCTCATACAGGCCATGCCGTGCCAGTCTGTGTTTGGGCTCGTTCTTCTTGGCGTGATCCAAATAATCGTAAATCATGCCAAAGCCCGTCGTCTTGCCGCCGCCAAAATGGGTCCGGAAGCCAAACACGAAGATGACATCTGGCATGATCTTGTACATCTTGGCCAGCTTCTCTCGGATCTCTGTCTTGGGTACCATGGCCTTCCAGGGGTGAAGGACATCGATGACCATCTGCTTGCGCTGCAGCAGCCGGTTGGTCATGAACTTCCTGGTGCGGATGGTGACCGTGTCATTCATGTTGGCGGTGCGGCTGCAGGAGGCCAGGGAGCGACACGGGTATCTTGATACGTATCTTGATACGATAAGTGATGTATCGAATACATCGAATACATCACGGGTAGCTTGCCAGGCTCTGCAAGAGGGGCGGAGGAATTGAACCCAGGTCGGCCGCATGCAAAGCAAACTCCCTACCCATTGTGCTATCACTCCAGTCTGAAATCTAAATTACAACTACTAAACTTTGAAATGTACCTGTCAAGGTGACAGAAGGTGAGATGTGACAGAAGGGAGTATGGGAACACTGGTGTAAGGAAGTGACACTGATAGTGGGATTGGTGTCACCAATAAAAATATCCACTGTTAGTAGAACATAAAAGACAGATAACAACAATCATTAGTTGTCGACCATGTCATCAACTACTTCGTTGTTTTGTGCCTATTGATTTGCATAAATTTCACAATTTATGTAAAAGGAAAATAAGGCACTGATGAGCTACATAATTTGCCTGAAGATTCTGTGATTCTGTGATTCTTTTGAATTTTAGATAAATGGATTTGGGAACCCTGAACAATGTTTCAAAGTTAGTGACTTTAGAAGTAGTCCAAACTTTGAAGGTTTTTGAAGTTAAGATAAATTCAGACAAAGTAAATGATATGAGAAGTGATAGAAAACATGTTTTATGATATATTTAACCAACAAAATATATATATATTAAAATAATATATATTAAAATGCTGAAGACCTCCAGAACCAGCCACCACCATGCTGACACCACTCTCCGCACACATGAAGGTACCGGAAGAGGAACAAAGGCATGCAGATCCCGGGGCTGAGATCTCCAAGCCTACTTGGATCGGGGCTGAGCATCCTCCAACCAGATCCTCCAAATTCCAGTAGGCAGTGGTCACGCCCACCAACTGGGCCCCTGGTGCCATGTAATCTCATCAACGGCCAAGACTCAGAGACTATAAAACCCAGCTCTCGGACATCTTATCATCTCATTCCTACTTTGGACAAACTGGCAGGTTACCGAATGTAACCTGCCCACATGGCAGAGTCTGGCAAACACCCCGTGGCGTACCCAATATGTCAAATACCAGTAACAATGAAGGGTCTCATTCTCCTGACTCTGAAAGAGCCTTGAATATGGCAGTTTTTTTTTTTAAATCTCAGGGCTAGGATGAAGGAGACGTTACTGGGGCCTGCTCGAAAATGAGATAGTAGGTGATAATTTGGATTGAATCTAACCTTGCTCAAAATACAAAGCATCTTTAAAGTGAAAGAAAGACATTTGCAATCTATTGTAAATTATGGAAAAAATTTAAATAATTTTAAGTGTGTTGCAAAGATATTATAGCAGGTGTGGCAATCACCTTACGTGTGATGGAAGCTGACCCTGGTTTGATCTCTGGTATCATATACAGTCTCTGAGTATTGCCAGGAATCACTCCTAAACACAGAGCTACCAACTGTGGTCTAATCCCACTCCTGACCTTCTCCAACCCCCAAATTAATAGTTTGAAACTAGGCGGTGGCATAATAATGTTCTGAAAAGTGGTTATATATATATGAATATGAATATTTTTTCTTATAAAAACAGTACTTTATTTCCCAAAAATGATAGCATATAATATGGAAACATTTTAGTATTTATGTATAAATTATATTGTGATAATGTATACTTTATAAAAGAATCCTCCACACATTTTCTAAAACTTTTAGAACCTTCCCTAACCATTTAAAGAGGTATGAAATTGTATCCCTAAAACATATTGTTCTATAATAAAAGTCAGTCACAGTCACGGTCCCCCCGTTGTTCATTGATTTGCTCAAGCGGGCCCAGTAACATCTCCATCATGAGACTTGTTGTTACTGTGTTTGGCATATCAAATATGTCATATCAAATACATCATGGATAGCTTGCCAGGTTCTGCCGTGGGGCGAGATACTCTCGGTAGCTTGCCGGGCTCTCCGAGAGGGGCGGAGGAATCGAACTCGGGTCGGCCATGTTGGCCGCTTGTAAGGCAAGCGCCCTACCACTGTGCTATCGCTCCAGCCCATAATAAAAGTAATTGAAATAAATAGATTACTCCTGTCTCAATGCTCAGAGATCACTCCAGTGGGGTTCAGGGAACCACATAAGGTGTCAGGGATTAAATCTGGCTCAGCCACAACAGAACAAGCACTGTACTTGCTGTACTACCCCTTTGGCCCCATAAAGATATCTTGTTTGTCTTTTTGTCTGTTTTTTGAGTCATACCCAAGAGTGCTCAGGGTGTACTCCGAGTTTCATGCTTGGGAATTGCTTGTAGAGCTGCTCAAGGGTCCATAAAGTGCTGGATATTGAACCCAGGCTTCTGCATGTATGACATACGCTCCAAAATGGTGAGTTGTATCTCTGACCCGCTAATGTTGTGAAACTGCATCCTGCTGTCTCTTACTACAAACATTCAAATTCTTTATAGGTAGCTGGGTGCTCTGGGATCATAGGGCCATAAGAAATATTCCTACAAGTAAGATCGTTGGACTAAAAGTAGGAAGTGCTAAGTGTTTGATGATACTGTCAAGTTAAGTTCCAAAACAATATTTTGCATATTTATTTTAAGTAGTTTTTCTGTTTCTGAGGAATTTTATCAACATGATCATCAATCTTTTATCTTTTTGCCTAATCAATAGGTGATAAGTGTAGTGTCAGAAGATTTTATCTCCAATGTTTGTCCTATTATTAATAGTTTCATTTCATAGAGTTTTTCATCAATACTCTATCTCAAGATAATTAAATGTATGTTACCATATTTTATACTAGCCCACTCAATTTTACTTTCATACTTTGACAGCACACATGTAACCTAATATATAACTGAATTGTCAGACTCATGTAAAATACAACCATCTTAGTGTATTTTTATATGAACACAAAAATTTAATAAAGCAATTTATTGTTATCTTATTTCTACAGCATTGAAACACACGTTTTAGAAATTGCAAACATTTTAATATATGTATAACCTATATCCATAGGTAATTTATTGATTTGTTTATTTCTATGCTTGGTATAATACCATTTCAGCCACAATAGTTTGGAAATATAATTGTATATATAGTACAATAAAACAGCTAAAATATTATTGACTAATTTCCAAGAAATATTTTCCAGGGATTAAGGGATTCTATAACAGTATTGAGATATTAATAAAAAATTTTCTGGAAAATACAAAAGAATTCTACTTTTATTTGATATGGTTTTGTACCTCACAGTAATAGGCTCTGTCATTTTCTTGCAGGTATTTTATAGTATTAATAATCTGACTATTTTAAAATGGTTATTATTAGGACTTAGAGAAGGTATAAACTGTTTACATGTGGATAAATAAATGTGAACTATTTTTGATTTTGCTTTATTCTAGCTCATTTTCTCATGGGGGGTTAAATATACTTGTGACTATATTTAAAGTATCATTTTCTTTATTATTATCACATGACTTTGCAACATGAATACAACACTAGATGTTAAAAATACTTTGCTTCTAGCGTGTTAGTGTTTTTATAATTTCACCCTAAAATTAATTTAACACTATTTTCTAATAGTTTATGTTAAGAAAGTTCATATTTTAAATACACACACACACACATATATATAAGTATGTTTAAAAACCTTCAGGATTGAGTAAGAAAATTTGGTATTGTATGTCTTTTTAATAAAATATTTTTTAATTCTCCCAGTACATTCTGTAGTTTACAGAATATCTTGTTATATAGTATTAAAGTTAGCACTTATAAAGTTAAAGTTATACTATCATTTAAAATTTTAAAGGATCTCTAGATAATTTGTCACATTATGATATGGCATTATGAATGATAAAAAGTAAAATGCTATGCAGTTTTCAAAAGATAAAATTCTTCAAATCTAATTTGTTTTCACTGTTTTATCTGACTGCTACCTACATCTTTGGCTGCAAAACCACAGTCAGCAGGCTTTATTTGTCCAGAGTAAAGATAAGTTTGTGATTGAAGCAATGGCATTTATTAAAGTGCCAAGTAATATCCTTTCATGCCAGCCAAAGAAATATCTCCTCTGACCATTCACTAGAATTGGAGTCCTAACATCAATTTAGATATTTTATTATTTGTTTTTTCTAATGATCCATTTATATAAAAAATATTTTTTACAGCAAATTGAAGTAGAACTCCGTGGAAGATTCATCAGTCAGTGGAGGATGGGTGCGGTCTCAGAGAGGCTGAGAAGATTACAATCCACAGAGTGTAATGAGAATGCAGTCAGTTATGTTCATACCAATTCTCATTACAATCTTTGTCACTGCAATGGATTCACGGTGTATCATTTTCCACCCTTGTTATATTCTTTGTCAGAAAAATGAGGCATCATTCATGCCATCTGCCTTTCTACTTCACACCCCTCCCCAACACTTTATTGTATTTTTCACAGATTGCATTAGGGAAATAAATTGTATAGCTCATATAAAGTCCATAGAAGAATCTTGATAAATACCAGAACACAGAACCAAGTTATGAATCTAAAAATCTGCATAATGGAATTGTAAAACAAAATATGATAATTATATATAAACACATTATTCAGAAATAAAAATATATGCAAATGTGTCCTTTGTGTATAGGATGTAAGTAAGCAAAATTTCTACAAGTCACTGTAGTATCTTGCTATGAAAATATTGTGAATACAATTAGCAATTTCTGTTCTGATTTTCCATATCCCCCACTTTTTAATAGTTCATGTATACAAGTAAGCTGATAAAGCAAAGTATGCTATGCACACTGTTGTTTATGCATTTTTAATAAAGATCTAAAGCTGAAAATTCAGAGAGGCGTGTTATCTCTAAACTCTTGATAATCTTTTAAAAACCCTTTTATCTTATTTTTCTAATGGTCTGGGGGCCATACTCTGAGGTGCTCAGTACTTACTGTGAGGTTTGCTCAGACAAAGTGGCATCCAGGACCAAAAGATGACTGGCTGATGATACAGCAACATTCCCGGAATCAGAGATTACCCTGTCCCCAG